AAAAACTCAAACTGGTGTTTTTAACTGGCGTTTTTACAATGACAATTAACAACGCTATGTATATACAATGGTTTATACAAATTATATAATACCTGTTAATCTAATTGTAATTCGAATCGTAAATGTTTAATTTCATTTGATTTGCCATCATGATTGCCTTCTCATTCTTATTCAATGCTGCAAGTTTTAGATATCTTATGCCAGTAGCCTCATCTTTCTTTTCTTTTAATTTTCCATTTATGTATATATCTGACAAATTAAACATTGCCACTGGATTTCCATTTTCTGCTGCTAATCTCAAGTAATGCATAAATTCTTCGTATTTATCATTCGCTTTGATCTGCTTTAATTCCTTTAATGCAAACGAATAACGCAATTGTGCTTCTGCGATACCATCATCTGCCGCAGATTTAAAAAGATGAAGTGCTTCATTTCGATCTTCCATGATTTTCTCTGGTGTGCGTTTTTCATCTGTATAATATCCTTCCCATAGATAATATCCTTTCCAAAATATCGCTTTTGAATGTCCTTTAGCAGCATTTGCCACAAAACATTTCCAAGCTACTTTCCTTTTTGCTGGATCTCTCGTTACATGAAGTTCAATTCCTTGATCAACTTCCAGAATTTCCTCGATTTCGTTAAGATCTTCATCGTCTTCACAAAGGTAAAGACTTTCATCATCTGACATTACATGCTCTTCTGGCATGTTATCATCGAGTTTCAAAATTTTATCGGGTAAGAGGTCGGGCAAGTATTCGCGAGGAACATACTTGTTTTGCATATTCGCAAGCATTATATAAAGCTTGCCTATAGAAATCCTTTCTGATGGATCATGCTCCCATGCTTTAAAGGAATTTAATTAGGCATATTATTAGTTATCATAATAAAACATATACAATATTTTAATTTTATAATCATTAATTAATTTACCCATTCTAATGATTTTTGTAAATTCAGAATAAATCTCTTTCTCTTCTTTGCTTCCGGAGTAAACTGGAATTCTTTCCCTACCACCTTTTGTAACGTGATTTGTAATATACTCCATGTCTTTATCTTTGTAAGGAATCTTTTCAAAACATAATTCCCATAGCATCATTCCAAAACTGTAGAAAAAAAAACAATATAAATAATTTAAACAAAAATTATGGGAAATGTTTTTGTGGACACTACAATATCTACCTAAAAATTTCACATTGTTGTGTATATGGACGTTTCTTAGCCTTAGAGTTTAAGCACATATGCTCAAACATTTTTTCTGGCGCTAACCAATGAATAATATTTAAAACTCTTTCTCCAAGATTTGTTGATACACCTCCTGTCATTCTTGCAAAGTGAAAATTTGCTAATTTTGGTTCCAAACGATTTGTCATCTACAAAAGTGTAAAATATTGCATTAAATAAAAAGAATTAGTCAATATTGTTAATCATATAATAATATATTAAATTCATAACAGCAAAAATTTATCACCTTAACATTTTCACACCTAATATCGTGATGAAAGATATCAATAGAATTTAAAAATGTGATGCCACGACAAATATCGATGGCTATAGTTATTTTTGTTTTCCAAGGTATATCAAAATTTTCGTAAACCTCTTTTAGATTTCCCCTATCAGCCCATTCAAAAACCAACACTTCACTATCTCTCAAAGTTGAAGAATCTTTTATTGTTGAAACCCCAAAGAATTTAAGAATATTTGGGCATTCTCCTAATTTTCCTAAAATCGCCAAATACCCTTGCCTTTTCTGTGATTGAAATTGTTTTTGATCAATGATTATATTCTCACATGATACAGCTATGGCATTTTTCGTATAGAATTTTTTCACAGCGCCGGAATTCTCTGATTCTTTTGGGGGTATTTCGGATTCAATATCTTTCAATAATGATGGATCTATTCTTGGTGCTGAAATCTGGGTATCAGTATCGGCTGGTTCCTTTTCTTTCGAACAAAATTGGGTCTTGATGATTGATACTTCCTGGTGGAGAATATTTAAGGATCCTTGAACAAACTTTAATGTGCCTTGAACGTTTTCGCTAAATTGTTTCAAAAACTACGTAATCATAGTATTTAGAATGATAAACTATATTCATTATAATATTGATTCAATAATACCGATTTACATCATATAAATACCTCGCTCATTTCTGCCAGATCTGATTCCAAACTTTCCTGATCATATCTTCTTTGTTCATCTTGAGCAATTACGAACGTAAAATGTAAATCTTCCATACATTTATCATAATCACTTGTCAATTCCAAAAATTTTTCTTTAATAATACTAGCATTAACGTATTTGCTAATCCCTCGAATTTGTGTCACTTCACCCGCAAAATTTTTAATTTTTTCTAAAACATTTTTAAATTTCATAAAATTATTATAATATGTTTGATTACGGAACTTTTCCTCATTCTCATGCTTTCTTCGTTGTAAAGTATTCATGGCTGCTTCTGCTGATTTTGCACGATCAAGTAGGGAATTACAAATTTTTTTATTAAATTGTGCTTTCTCATATATATCTATAATCTCTTTAATTAGACCAGATATTGTAGTGATTATTGGTATAAAGGGTTTAATGGTTTCTCCAATTCCAATCACTTTTGTTGCACATCCACCAAGTTGTGAAAATTCCTCTGTCGCATCTATCATAGTATCTATACCATCTGTAAGGCTACCGATACTTTCTGCCATCTTTTAATTGATTATTTATGTCGAATTTAACTATGTATGCGTTTAAAACTACTTAAATTTAATATTCAATTACTATGTTGCCGAACTCCGGTCATGTACAACCAAGCTTGATGTAATAAGATTGTGTAATCTTCTAATTAAAAACACATGTAAATTTATTTGAAATTCATTAATTTAACGCATTCAGCTTTATTTAAAAAAATAAATTTTATTAAAATTGGTTTCTTTTTCTGATACGAAGTCAAAGTTTTTAAAAATATCGAAGTTTTACTATTGCTATACTTATAACTGATTTTAGAATTTTTTATTACGTATCACAATGTACAACCTTCCATTTTGGTAAATTTTCAAGAACTCTGTTTCACAATAACTTTTAAAATTTCATCATGGTTGTAAAAAGAACACAAATCTCGTGAATGGCGCAGAAGACTTCATTGATGATAAACCTAGCTCAACAAAATAAAAATGAAAAAGAACGTGAAATTTTCAAAAAAATTGCGATAAATATTGAAAAAAATTAATGATATTTACAAGGAATAAGTATTGTAAAAGTAATTGTAAAATTTCAAAAATTAGAGTGTCTGGCACAGTAGCAAGTGCACGCTAATAATGGCATGCCAAATACTAATTTGGCATTAAGGGTGCTCTCAAGCATCTTTCTCAGTGTAATTAGCTAGCTATAGAGATCGTGCACAAGTACTGAAGTACTACGATTAATTGAAGTAATCCTTATAGCAATTTTGTCGCTGAGAAATGCGGATATTAAATTTTAGCCAATCAACACAACTCCATGATAAAAAAAAAAGATGGTCTCTGACCATCTTTTTTTCTCATCGCGATAATAAACTCACTTGAACGAATAATTTATTTTCCACTAATTAAAAATTGAACTCAGACCTATTAATTTAGATGCTTGAGGACACCCTAAATATAGGGTGTTTTCAAGCATCTCAATCAATTGATTAAATAATCATGATAACGTTTTAGAATCACGATATTTATAAAATTAAGTGCTTGTGCATATTCTTTCTATTTTTCGTAATCTTCATTATGCCATTTAAAACACCTAAAAAATCTAACTGAAAATTCCTACTCAACCGCCTGCCGAAACTTCAACTTCGGTTGCGTCGGCTTTTCCCTTTACAGCTGTTTTCATAAATTCTGAAACACCTGATAAAAATCGCCGAATGATTTTTCGGCCGATCCGGTTAAATAAGCGATTTCGGCATGATCAATACATAACGATAAATTACGTTATATACATATAGATTAAATTATAATTTGAAATATATATGATTTCGCACCGATTAAACACACTACAGCACTAAACATGTTGGATAAGTATTACAGCTATTATCATTATTTCTGGGACACCTGAAGAATTTTCAGATGACCGAAATATCCTCTGTTTCATTCGGT